GGTTCGCCAGCCGTTCTGCGCAGCGGAGGGCGGGATCCTGCTCGGTCGCATGTCGGATGCAGGCATGCCCTGCACGGCATCCGAAAGCTCACGGCGCGCATCGTTCTCAATGGAAATGGCAGCAATCACGGTGATTTCCTCAGGTTTCTGACGAAAGCATATGAGGTGGTCACGGAATTATATCACATCATTGAATGCTGTAAATCTAGTTGTTTGACATAAGTGTCTGCCAGATAACGTGATTTCTCTTTGTCTTTCTCTTAGGACCGAAGGCGACCTCGATCCGGAGCCGCTACTTCCGAAGCCTATCCTCGGCACTAGAAAACAGAAGGCTCCCAAACCAGCCAAACTCGCCCATCAACCACCGCAGCAACGCAAAAGAGAACGAAAAGGACAAATAAATCGAGAGAAAAAGAAACAGGAAAAAATTCAACGGCAACTGCAGCGACTGAAACAAGCACAAAAGCAGAATCAGAAACGCAAACAACGGCAGCAACACGGTTTGCAAGAACATCGGAGTGTCGGTAGGCCACAGAAGTCTCTTCGACTATTTGTGAGTGGTACGAAAGAAGCAATCATACCCGACATCGTAAAGGCCTACTTTTCACGCTTCGGAGAGGTGCTCGATATGAATTTTCCCATCAATTGCTCGAGAGAAAAACACCGTGGAAGTTGCTACATTAAACTACAACCCACTTCAAATGCGGCCAACATTTTCGATAGGGAGCACTTCTTATGTCGTTCTCGTATTACTGCTGTGGAGTGTTACTCACCCGAAAATGCAGAAATTGAAGCGGTGGGGTATGTTTCGGGGAGATTTTATTGCTTTTGTTTGATACCGCTAATGCCATCGGTTTATTTGCCTTCGTAGATTATACTTATGGATGACTTAACATTAAAGTGTGTTTTCGCTCAGGTGTCAACCTCAATAGTCCTTGATTTTTGTCTCAATTTTCATGTCTTTAGACTCGCTGAGGGCATTAGTAGTCGGAGGGCGGACTTGGAACTATCGCAAAGGAGTTAAGGCTAAGCCGGTTGAACCCTAACTACTGCGATC